TAGTTTACGCAATCTGTTATAATCTGGTATGATTCCTCTGGATGGAAGTGCTGGATTGAAGCATTGTGCCACTTTTTTATAGCAGCAAATATGCGATCAGAATAGTCCTTCTATAAAATTTACACTGGAATATGAAGCTCCCATTGACGCTTCTGTTGGCTGCTGAATGGCTGCTCATCCAGAGTATGTTGACACCCAGGGAGCAAAACAATAGCATCCTATGTGAGTTTAGTGTCTACCCCTTTCCTAAATACTTCTAGTTTTTTTTTAAAAAATGTTTATACTGTCTAATCCCTGAAGACCATTTAATGTTTTCACAGGGAAGCACAATGTTTAGTAAGAAAAGGTTCATATTTGACATACCTAAAATAATCTGTGCACATAATCTGGAGCCCTTTCTAAGGAGAGAAGATTGAGTCTCAAGAATACCAGGTCATGGCTAGAGAAACCAAGGGTTGATAGGTCAGATCATCAGTGTGCATGAGGCAAAGGTGGAGGTCACGTGGGACAGTATAAGACAGTAAAACAAGCATAAGGCAGGGGAAAAAAAGATGGTTGGAATCTAAACATTTAGGCTTGAATCTTGATTTGGCTCCCTACTCATTAAGTGACCTTAGATTCCTAAAAGCCTAATCTTATCAATGAAATGTACACAATAATAGGGATAGTAATTGAGAATTGTGATGATACCTCTGAACGGACACTGTACATTTTAAGCTGTTGTAGAAAGGCTCTTTGTTTAGTGTGGGGGAAGTGAAGTAAAGCACAGGTAAAAATCTGGCATGTGGGAGAAGTCAGAAAACACCATGCGTAGATGTAAGGGGGGCAGCAGTTCCATGGTGTAGTGCATAGCACTCAAGTCAACGTAAAGGAGACAGTCATGGGTGACAATTTCTATATTCTGTTCTAAAGATAATGTTATAACATTTAATATTTTCTGATTGTCAGTGTCACACGTGCCCATTATTTAACATTAAAGGGAAAAGGGGACAAAAAAAAATCTCCTTGGAATTGGTTCCAATTCCAATTCTGTCATTAGCTAACAATGTGGCCTTAAATAAGGTCCTTAGCCTCATTGTTCTCATCTGTACAAGGGAAACAGTAACAACAATGCAGTAGTGACTTGCAGTGACTGTGTGGTAAACGCAGATCTTCATGCTGATCCATTCATTCTATAAAGTAGATCTTATAAATACTCCTGTTTTTTCAGACGACGAAGCTATAGAAATATTCAGCAACTTGTCACAAGGTCATAGAAGCAAAATAGGAAATGGGATGTAAAGCAAGTGTAATTATTTCACATTTGTAACCATATATAATTAAGGCACATGATTTTTTTCCAAGTAGCAGCTGACACAAACATAGGAACACATGTTGTCACCTGGTGACCACAGTTAAAAAAGGTTTAAAGAAATGTTCAAGGAGTAGACTTATGGAAAGTATAGTCTACAAATAATAATTGCGTCTTTCTTGATCATCTAAACTGTGGTTGATAACAACTGTATGTATGCAGAGGGCAGTCCTACTACACATGTAAAGGTTGTTAACTGAAAGCAATGGAGTGTTCCAGCGATTGGCAATTTCAGACCATCGTGTATTAGTCAAAGGAACCAAATTCAAGGATACTATCTATACATCTGTCTGTCTGTCTGTATGTCTGTCTATCATATCTTATCTTCCTACCAACTTATCTACCTATTGATGGATTGATCTGTTAATCGTCTATGTATATCTGGCTCACACCATTATGGAAACAAAAGAATTCAGTGATCTAACTTTGCAATTTGGAGACACAAGAGAGAGAATGGTTTAGCTAAAACGTCCCAGAGATGGGGAGCTGATAGATTCCTGCCCAAGACTGAAGGCTTGAGAGCCAAGAGCATCACAGGGAGGAAATAATGGTCTGTTTCAAGGAGTCAAGCAAAGAGCTGTGAATCCTCCCCTCATCCTCTTATTATTTCCAGGTCCTCAATTGCTAAGGCAATAGCCACTATGCTGGGTAGGCCTATCTGTTTTATTTAGTCTATTGATTCATATGCTAATATTTCCCAGAAACATCCCCGTGGACATACCTAAATATCTAATCCAGTTCAAACTGATATAAAATTAACTCTTGCACATCCCCAACATAGGAATCCATTTCTCAAATAAAAAAGGCTTGAAGCATGAAATAAAATTTGTTTGCCTTTCTGATGGAAATACCACACAATATAACATTTCAATGTATTCATGCAAGGATAGGAAAACTTTTAGTTAAGGGGTCGGATATTAGGTCTTAATAGGGTTTAGTTTGAGGATATAGTATAACAGAGGCTTCCCAGGTATCTTGTCTATTCTCTTTTACACAGTCTTCATCCAGCTTCTATCTGAAAGAAACCACCTGGGAGTTAAATTTAAATAAAGGCTGGTTTGTAAAAGGCACAGGATTAGCTAGTGAGATATGATGGTGTCTAGTCTCAAGTTCCTCATGAGTTATTTCTATAACCTCAGGCAAATCATGGTCTCTTCTGGGCCAGGATCTTGAACACTACATTAGGGGTTTGTTCTAAATGAGGGTGTTTTAAAGCAATTCCATACAATATGACCACTTTACCAATATGATTAGGGATTTTGGAAATTGCCCTTGCAAAAAATTAAGAGGAGGAGGAAAAAGATAGAGGAGGAGAAGTAAGAGAAGAAAGATGAGAAGGAGGGATGGGAGGAGGAGGAAAAGGAGGGAGAGAAAATGAGCAGGTATTTACCCCCTCAATTTAAAGCTCCTACCCATACATTTTTCTTAATTCTCTTTCTCATTTTATAGCTGGTCAGGTCAGCAGTGGAAAAGCACATATGAGCAAATAGTAAATGGTCCTCATTTAGAATACTTGGAAACAGCTGAAATTTTCAGTTTTGAGAACATATGTGTTCGTGGTAGTGATTTTATATTATATACACACAGGCATATCCTTAAATAGAACTGTTCTCAGTTGACTTGTTATTAAAATATATCAATATTTATGGTACTTTGAGAAGAATATCATGACTTCCAGGTGTTGCCCACGTGAGTAAGTTTGGGAACCACTGTTCGTATGTGTTTGTGGTTGTGACTTCATATTGTATAAAGTAACATAGTTATATTTCTGGCAAATTGTTCCCAATTCAGATGAAATTAAATAGAGCAGCATTTCATAGTATATTACACAGAATGCTGTGGCCAGGTGCTGTCCATCTGGCCAAATCTGAAGATGAGATGCCCTGCAAGGCCTCTCATTCTTTCTGGAATTCGTCATGTGTGGAAGCGTCCCTACTGTGTTCCTTGTGTGCACCAACTGGTGGTGGTTTTGGTAGGTATGGAGTGCCACCCTCCCACAAATCCACCAGCTTCCACAAGTGTATGAGATACAGATTTTTTAAGGAGGTCCCACTGCACCCTGATCGGCTCTGTGTGGCATCTTCTTCTATCAACACTTGCTCTTTCAGCTTTGTTTTACTATGAAGGCTATAGAAGGAGGAAGCTCGTATGTGCCCCCTGCAGAACTGCCTGGCACAGTTGTGTGGGTAAGTCTCCTCTCTGGAAAATTAACGCTCTGCTACTGATAATGACCCGGAGAATCACTAGTCGAAGGAAATATGGACTGGAGAATGTGGCTAAGAGGAGCAGGAAAAGAAAATATACGGATATAAAGATAGCTCATAGAGAGACCTGCTGATTTGAATTGGGCACTACTGTATCAGTTTTCTTGGATTTCCATTATCTTCCCATCCATGTATTGGTAGTTGAACACACCATCCACCTGCACTTTAGGTTAGAAGGACCACAAGGCTTGATGGGGTTTTTGTTTTAGGGTCTTGAATAAGCTTTGAGCCACTCTGACCTTTTCTCAGGACCGTCAGGGTGTGTGCCTAGGAGCTCACTGAGGTGGGTGGCACTTTTCAGTTCATTGTGACTGTAGAACTATCCACTTGGGTCGACCCTGGAGCCTTAACCAAGTTCTCTCTATCTCCAAAGCTGGCAGTGGCAAACTGAACCCCAGGACTTGAGTTTCTCTGATTTCTCCTGCTGGTCACATGGAGCCAGTGAGATGGCTCAGTGGTTAGAAGGCCCATAGGCCCTGTTTGGTTCCTAGCACCTACCTTGCGCATTTCACAACCACCTGAAATTCCATCTCCAGGGGACTCCACACCCTCCCTGTCATCTACACTAGAAATATGCATACACACAAATGAGCATGCGTACACACATATATTTTTTTTAAAAAAAGCTTTTTAAAAATTCAATCTTTAAAGGGATCTTGTGATTAGATCAGTATTTACTATCTACACAATAGGCATAAGATTAGAGTTTGATGGAATAGCCTGCGACAGAAAACGTTGGTGGGCCAACTTCAGAGTTCTGCCAACTCCCACTGTCCCCCAGGATCAAGCTTGATTGCACAGAAGTGAAATGGAGAGAGACCCTTGAGAAATTCCAGCAGTGACTCTGGGCAGAATTAAAGTGGACTTTAAACCAAAGCCTGTCTGCTCGTGGATAATGTTACAGCAAGGCTCCAGAGTAAATCACAACCATAACAAAGACAGAGGGCTAACTTTCTATTTATTTTTATGCAAACACGAGCTGCTTCCTTGTAATCCATGAGTGAATTTCACTTAAAAATAACAACTTGACAAAGTAGATGTCTAAACCTGCATATACGGAGACACCCCTCAACAGGGGCAGAGGTTTTCTTTTGTTTAAGTTTGTTGTTAGAGCTTAAACTGAAGACAGTTGTCATAATCAAGTTAATTATTTCACCCTTAAAATCTGTGTGCTGCAAATAGGGTTATTTACAAACATGAACTGCATGCACACATGCATGCCCTCATCTGATTCCACTTAAAAGCTGGGCTATTCCACAGCCAGCTTTATTATTTGGAGTTCAGTCACTGCAGGAATGCAGATAAGTTCAAAGATACAACAGGGCTCTCAAGCCAAAATACACTAAATCCATCCTACTGAAAGGAGGCTGTTGTGTCCCGAGGAGATGATGGAGTTCAGGCCAGGCTGCAGCTCCTCCCTGCTCTGCAGTGCAGGGCTTCTATCTGGCACTCCAGGAGCTGGGAATTTACCACAAACACTGCCTTGGGGAACAGTGTTAGCAGCTGAGAAACTGCAGAAGCAGGCGGCTTCCCAGCGACCTCCAGATCCATCAGAAGGCAAGAAAATAATTAAAATCCTAATTAAGTAGTTTCTCATCTGGCTCATTTGAAGACACTCCAAAAAGGGTCAGATTTAAGGCGTGGTAAAAACAGCTGAAGCATTCGATTTGTGCGTTAGTTAAAATCTTGGTTAAGTCAGGTTCATGCAAGGAATGTGAAGGAGAGAACTAAGTTAATAACTGTGCAATTCAAATGCAAATAATTTTTCTGGTGGTATTTGTATATTTATGAAGGTTTATTTTTCATTTACTTAGTTTTATTTTATAAGTACCGACTTTTCTTTGCTCTCACACAGTATTGTATAAGCAATAATTTTCTGTCTTTATAAATGACACAGGGCTATGGGAGAGAGGTTGACAAAAAGCCCAATAACACGATGAAATTTTATTTTATTGAGGCTAGGTTTCATGTAACTGAGGGTAGCCCAAATCTCACTACTTAGGCAAGGATAATCTTGAACTCTTGATTGTCCTGCTTTTACCTCTCAAGTGCTGGGATTACTCTGGGATTGTAAGACTTTAGGTAGTATCAAATATTTTATAGTTTTAGAAATTTTGATGCAACTGCTTGCAATAGCTGCTTTGCTATGTAACTTAAGAACACAGCATAGAAGATCTATCAATATTTGCCAGTGAAATTTAGTCATGGATTTGTCTTTTAGGTTGTTTTCTTCTCTCAGTTACTTTGGACTTATCTTCCTGCATGGCTCCAGGAAGAACCAAATACTACTGTTCCTTAGACAACAGTTTCTCAGGGAACATCAGTTAAAATTGTATCTATTATTTTATTTTTAAAATGTTTATATGTATGGGTGTTTTGCCTGCATGTATGCATGGTGCCAGAAGATGTAGTTGGATCTTCTGGTAGTTTGAGCCCCTCCCAACCCGCCTCCCATGGGTTCCGGGGATTGAACCTAGGTCCTCTGTAAGAGCAGCATGTGCTTTTAACTGCTGACCCACATGAAAATTATAAATACAAAAATTCAGCTAACAAGTCTGAGGAAGCCAAGACTATAAGCTGTGTGTGTTCATACTCCATGTATCACTCAGTAGGGATTTATTGTTTTGGAATTGCTAGTTAGTGGTGACACTCACAGACCTGCATTTAAATCTGAAGTACTATTAGTGCCATAACTTATGTTAACTCCTGGGTAATTTTTAAAGCCCAGAAGACCCGCTCTGACCCCTGACCCCCACCTCACATTTCAGACTGCAGACACACATGTTGCTGCTTTTAATGTTTGGAACCCTGCCTCTGGCACTCAGTACTTCATGGCTTCTCCTCTTCTGACTCACCCTTCCACTCTTCTTCTCATCTCCAAACATTTTGGTTGGGGACCAGTAGAGGACTTGAACCTGTGGAGTTGGAACTAGACTTTTGTTTAAATCTCAGCTGTGCCACTTAGAAAACTTGTGCTTTGGGGCAACTCAGTCAGTCTCTGGCAGGCTTCTTCAGTTGGCATGTGGAGATATTAGCATCTGTGTTACAGGGTTCCTCTGAAGAGCAAATAAATGGAGCATATAATATTACCTCACTATTGCTAGTGAATAATGTTTCCTTCTGTTTTAGTTCCTGTTCTATTGCTGTGAAGAGACACCATGATGGAGGCAAATCTTATATGTGTTTAACTGAGGGCTTGCTTACAGTTTAACTGGGTGCTTGGTAAATCCCACATTACAGTATCCTTGCACTACAAGTAAAAAAAAAAATGCTCTGTGTTTTAAATTTCTATCAATAATTCATTTTATTTACCTCCCTTCTATGCATATATCCATACTTACTAGAGCTTCCACACCTACAACCCACATTTTTCTCTCTTCGCCAAATCATCATATTGTTTGATTTAGCATCGATTTAAAAGGCCCATATATACTCCAGCTGCTAAGTAATTGCTTTCTTGATTTTGCTGGCCTTACTTTCGCAACAGGTCAGCCCCACACCATCCACAGGTTCTTACAGATTCTGTTTGTACTTAGATATCCTTTGACCATCGAGATAGTCAGCATGAGATGCTGAATAAGCAAACACTATCTAAACCAATGGTTCTCAGCCTGTGCGTTGCAACCCCCTTCAGTTCCAATGACCCTTTCTTCACAGAAGCTGCATATCAGATGTTTACATTATGATTCATAACAGGAGCAAAACTACAGTTATGGGTAGTATGGTGTGTGTGTGGGGGGGAGGTCACCACAACATGAGGAACTGTATTAAATGGTCACAGCATTAGGGAGGTTAAGAACCACTGCTCTAGACTATTAAATTCTTGACCTCAGGCTTAGGTCTTATGTTTGCTCATCTGCCTTCTCCATAAAATAAAAACTTAAAGATCTTGTTTGATTTTATTGAGTGTCATCTTCCCAAGCCAATCAGAGAAAACTAATAGCTATTCTTTTTCTTCCCTTCAGCAAGAGTGAAAGCAAGGATTTGTACTATGAGTATTTACACAAAGTCATCAATTACTAATAGAGACCATTATTCTACATGAATCAGGTATGGGGACACTTTCTGATGGGCTGAATTGTATTTTCATGATTTCTATAGTTTGGAAGATTCTTATCTCTGTCATTCCCCCTTGCTGAAGAGACTCTAGGTCATAGGATGATTTTTGTGTTTTTTTCCCAGTTCTAGGAGCTAACAGGAAAGGGGCGACAAACACTATAGCTGGGGCTTGGAGGCTAAAGAACAGAGCACTCCAGGCTAACAGTAAGAAGTCTTTCCTAAATTATAAAGTTAACATAAAAGCTTTACCTGCAGAACTTGAACATAGAATCTTCTCTTCACCTGCCACTTTTTTATTTGTTAATAATTTTTCTCTTAAAGTAATAATAATTTTTAATATTTTAAAAATGAAAATCAATAAAAGGAGAAGAAATGCCACCTATGCTTCTATGTATTATTGTAACTGCATAAACTTTTTTCAATGCAACTGTATCAATGCCTCTTTTTGGTCTGTATTACATAAGCAATACGTGGAGAAGTTCATGTTATCCCCATAAACAAGGACTCACAAGTACTCTGTGTAGTATTCTGTAACCTTTTTGTACTCACTAATGCATACTGTGTATTTCATGTTAGCAACTACACTACTATTTTCAATGAGCTTGTTCTGTTTCAATGAATAGTAGTAACATACTTATCTAATGTCTATTGAATACATAGACTGCTTCAGCAGTGGTACAGTGGAGTCTGCATACTTTCTGAACTGTTTATTTAGGTCATGTTCCTAAAAATTAATCCCTATATCAAATTGTATATAGTTTAAGATGCTTTGTTTTAAGCATTACACAAAAAAATATGGGCTAGTTCTTTTAAAAGTTAATTTGGTAATATATCTATTCAAATGCATATATGTAAACACACATATTTCTAATATGTATTTGTCTAGTCCCACTCTCTATGTTAAATACATCTAGACTGAAAGTTTGCACTTTTTCCTTAGACCAGTATTTAGGTGTCATGTTGCTATACCTTAGGATCTGTACTCTAAAAGACTCCTGATGGGATTAAGGATGTAGCTCAGTTGGCAGAGTACTGGACTAGCATTCACAAGGCTCTGGGTTCGATTCCCAGATACCACATAAAGCAAGTGCAGTGATCCTAGGTGTCTGGAAGCAGAGGCAGGAGGACCAGCAGGTTAAGGTCATCCTTGATTACATAACAAGTGGGAGGCCAGTCTTGGCTACACGAGGCTTGGCCTTTTAAAGAAGGGGAAGGAGAAAAGGCTCTTGACATTTTCTGCCAGCTGTCTTCCTCAAGGAGAGATATGCGCCTTCTGTGTTTGTACTCTTTTCTCCCAGTCTAGTCAATATAACATGTTATCATTATGAAAGTTTTATCAAATTGATAATGACAAATTGCAAGTCCATTTTCTTAATGTATTATTAATTCATGGTTGGTGATGGCAAATATTTTAAAATGATGATTGGTTTAGATCATTTAGGTTTTTTGTTTTTAATTTCATTGATCTATTCCTTGATAAATTACACACGTCAACAAGGTACTTAAGAGTTTTTATTTTACATGTTTGCATACTTTTTAAAATTGAGTCACATTTCAGAAACTAGCTAGTTGTACAAGAAAACATGATACTTCCCTCCCAAGCAGACAGCTAAACTTTACTCCTCAGCCTGTTGTACAGTGACACATGGCTACCTGGCCAAGCTCCAGTCACAAGTTTGTACATGCTACAATCAAAATGGAAATAGGTTTGCCAACTTGTCTAGAGACTATAGCAGAGAATTCATTCCCTTGCCCATTTAGTTTGTTGATAGAATATTTCCCCCTGTAGGACTGAGGTAGGCTTACAAGTGAGGACCATTCCTAGGAACTGAAAGCCACCTGCAATCAGCTGTGTTTCTTCTCATATAGGAATCTGACTCACAATTCTGCCTCCTTCTATTACTGTAAGAGCCCATTGTTTACACTGGGCTCACCCAGATAGACCAGGACTAACCTTCACATTTTAATATCACCCAGGGCTGGGACTACATCTAGGTTAGTAGAGTGTTTATCTGGCATGCTCAAAGCTTGGGTTTGTTTACCTAGCATCACACAAATGGATGGACTCAGTGACACATCTCTGTAATCCCAACTCGGGTAGGATGGAGGTAGGAGGACCAGAGCTTGTGTCATCCTCTGCTACAAAGTGAGTTTGAGGCCAGCCTGGACTACATGAGACCTTGTCTTAAAACAAATAAAACAAACAAAAATCCCAACTTATAAGTAACTATAATTCCATCTGCAACTTGGATTTCCATGTAATTTACCATGTAAAGTAACTTATTCATGTACTGCATAAAGTCAAATTTCCACTGACTATACTCTTCCTCACCTGCTCTGAAATCTAAATCTTCCTGAAGATTGAACTTGTACTGCCGGTTTACACCAGCGGTGGTTGAAAGTAATGAAGGCAAGGCTCTGCTGATGCTGGTGAGTAAAAATGTTATTCACTAGGCCTGGTGTTGGTGGTGCACACCTTTAATCCCAGCACAGGAGGC